AAATTTGTTGGCAGTGGACCTCCAAATCAATGCTACTTATTTGAAATTCTTAATTCCGATATATAAAGAAAACAAACTTCATGTTCCGCTTCATTTTGAAAATAGGAACATATAAAACAATCAGAACTAAATACTATAGGCCAATAAAAAGGAAGAAAAACAATAAAAATCTTTACTTGCAATATTAGGAATATAAAACTCAAAATATTAGTAGTGTGAAAATCAAAAACAGAGAAATTTGTAATAACGCAAACGAACATTGCTAGTAGTGTTCCCATCCTCTCTTCTCGTAATAATTCGAATACCTTCCGATCGCCGGCCGTCGTGTCGCCGCCGGCACATTCATCTCTTTGGAATCTCCGCTCCACCGATGCAAGCGTAGGAGAGCTGCAGAAACACACCCACATACACACGCACAGAGGCACACACAGAATCAACATTTGATCGATTGAGAGAGAGGAAGCAGCGAAGGAGACGAAAGGGAAGGATGATAACGAGATCAAAACTAGCAGAGCAGCTGAGAGAGTATCAGATTAGATCAAAACACGATTGGGCTTCCGTCTCTTTCTTCTCCTCTACCTCTAACTTAACATCCACAAGGTATCATTCCATTTCCAATTAGGGCTACGTTTTCCTTATCCTATATTTCTTTTAGCTTCATTTTCCTTATCCTATAATTTTTTTTCTTTTTTCGCATCTGCACAGTCTATGAGGTGTTTATGGATATATGCATCTGAGAATTGGATTTGATTTGGTTAAATCCATTATTTGGAGGTCATTTTTATGTTTGATTGGGGATTATTATATGGAAGTTTTAAGTTTTGGCATGATTAGTTGATTATTTTGGCTCGCCGAAGTTCTTTGAATGGTTAAAAATTGGGTCTTTTGACTCGCAGCGGAGGCAAATAACACTAGGTTATGTCTTCCTATCTGCCCAAGCTTTAGTGGGCAGAGTCCTGGACACCACCGTCATCGAAAAAGAAAAAGGAAAGGATTGGATCTTTTGAATGAGAGGAATATTATGAAGCTATTAGATATAGTACAAGTAATTGTTTGCCATAGAAGTTTTCTCATATGACTTGATCGATTGTGAGTTGCAGTAGATTTACAATCCAGTTTGACGAATCAGTAAAAATGGACAACACTATGTTTGTATAGTGTATGTCTTACACGAAAAACTATGAGTTCAAGAAGAACCCGAGGCATTTTGTGTAATGTATGCGTTAGATGAAAAACTAGGAATTCTAGAAGAACCCGAATCTTCAAATGCCAATTCAGGGAACCACGGAGAATGGCTCACAAAAGAAGAAGAAGAATAAAAAAGATGAATTGATGTGTATTCGACAATGGTAAGCTGATTGGAGTGGGTGATTTATACACTAAGGACTCGTTTCGTACGAGGGATAAGAGACAATTGATCCCGGGATTAAAATTTGAGATGAGTTTATCTCACGTTTGGTTGGGATAAAACAACAGTATAACTAATTCCGGGATTAGTTATCCCGGGATTGTAGTGTTATTTTTTTCCATATAGAAGGGTGGGATAACTAATCCCATGATAATTATGGAATAACTTGTTTCCTAACCAAACGACCCCTAAGAAGTTCACTAAACTGCTAGTGACACTTTCCCATTTCCTCCCCTTCTTTGAATCTTTTGGATCGATCTTCTTCTTCTGGTTTCTCTTTCTCCATGTAGTAGCTTAAATTGTATCCTTGTTTCAATAATAACATTGCAGAAGCTTTTGAGACAGAATGTGTCGGTTAGTTGATGCTCATTCCTCAGTGAACATTTATCATTTTTTTGGTTGTAGTTTTATCAAGTCCTGCAACAGCTCCTTGGCACTAACAAGGTTCCATTCCTTCACTTGTCTCCTAAATCTAAAATCTTGAGAAAACCTCATTTTAACCCTCCACTATTGTAAACATCATCTCAGCTCAGCAGCCAATTTTTGTTTAAAATCTCCTGCTTATCCATACGTTAAGGAGTGACCAACTATTCAACTTATTTTACTTCTCTCTTTCTAATTATATTTTCCTCTATGATGTTCAACCTCGGAAGATATCTCAATGGTGTCGTCCAGTTATAGCCATGTACCCATGTTTACAATTTCGCTTAGGGGTAGCGAAAAGGCTAAAAAAAACAGTTAACCACTCATATTATCCACTAAAAATGGGTTGGATAATGAACTTTTTAAAAACGGGTCAAATATGGATAAGAACCATATTATCCATTTAGAAAATGGATAACCAATGTATAACTAATGGGTTTAACTTTTACATATGTGAAACCTCAAATTGGTGGTTCCTCTAGTTTGGGAGACTAGGAGTTCTTTCAAAAGTGACCATATTCATGAAGCCATGGATAATATGGTTACCCATATTATCCGCCGGTTAACCTGTTTTTTATCCGTATTAATTATGGGTCGGGTCGGATAATTTATTCGTTTTTTCGTTACCCGTTTTCGATCCGACCCGCGCGTTTGTCACCCCCAATTTCGCTGGTCTTCTAACAATCCTTCAATTAATGTGATTTTCTCCACCCATTCTGCATCCACTTCTTGAGCTCCACTTGAGTTCCTCTTCAATTAGCTGGCTATTGAAGTTGTAGTAATGAGTGAAGATAAGAGTTCATTTGTTAGCCATTGGAGAATCGATTCATTCTCAAAAAAAAAAAGGGGAAAAAGAATCGATATGAAACAAGATATTTTTGGTAAGTAGGAATACTGGTGCTAAATGTATAAAATGTGTTTTATCAATCTAGATTTGCCCGCTTTTGTTAGTATTGTCTTCCACCAAAGAAACCTTCCCCACCTTAATTTACTGTATTTCTGCAAACTTAGGATAAGTTAGATCACCTGTGCTGAAATATAACCGTATCAAATGCTTTTACATCTGTTGCAACAAGTTCCTTATACTTGGTTGCTGTGGTAAATATGTTCACTTGACGAGGTGGTTTTTCTTTTTTCCCCTTTTCATCCTCATAAGAAGTTCTTTTAGATTTTCGCTATTAAAGCTGCAATATGGAATAAGACAACTAATTGCATTCAATAGCCATTAAATCTGTATGGAATTTAAGCTGGAATACTGGTTATACAATGTACAAATTATTGTGCTTTCTAGTATGATCTATTTGTCTACATGAAAAAGAAAAGGTAATTTATGTATTATACTGTTAAGCTTGCCCCTGTTTTTAAACATTGCTTCTTCCACCTTGCAAATCTTTTCTCAAATCCTTTCCGCTGGATGCATTGAGAAGTTGACCAAGGTATAAGGGAGTTTTTCCACTTTGCGTGATTGAATACCTACTGACCAATATAAGGTACTACAAGGTAAGTGGCATCCCACTCTTTTGAGGCTTTCCAGTCATTAAGTACTACGCGATCATATCTAAGTAATTTTGAAATGCCATTTTGTCGTGGATTATTAAAATGGCTCATAACATTTTGAGGCTTCTCTACCTCTTTCTATTTTTATATTGTTGATAAGTTACCTCTTTTTAATTTTACCAAAAAATTATCTACTATTAACTGATCTTCAGAAAGAAAAAAACTAGCATATTTAACGTATTTTAGGATTTGAATGAGCTATGACGCATAGACATTGATGTGCCAATTCTTCCCTTTTTCAATAGTTTTGAAAAGCACGGATGACTTGTTTTTGGTAATAAAAGAAATTCGCACATCAAAATCTCAGAAGCCGGGATGAGTTATTAGTCATTTATTTCGAGAGATTGATTCAAGTACATCGAATATATCAGTACATGTAGAGGCAGCAAATGCTGGATCGAGTGAAAATGTTATGACCCTACCTTTAACAATGGACTGGATGAAGACTTTGGTGAATGGATCCTTACTGCTTGGTCCTAGAGTTGTGTAGGTCTCTCAAACAAAACCTTTTGCAGTTTCCTGTATGGAGGATTATCATTGTCTACGTATCGTTACCACTTCTGGCAGTAACTTAGAATTTCTTTCTTCTGCGCTTTTCCTCTTATATCATTTTTTTCTCTTTGTTGATGCAGGGTGGATGTCGTCATCTTTGTGATATGGGAACTGGTTATCTTAGCATTCCTGGTTTTTTCTGCCGTTTCACTGTACTTCAGGCATCTAAGGCTTGCTTTTATTTTAGTATGTGTGACCTTGCTATTACTTTTGTGCATGAAAATAGCAAAGAAAGTAAGATCGGCCAGGAAAAAGAAGCGAAGGATGCTTCTTCCATTATCCATGTAGAGAAGTAGGATGAGCGAATTCTTTTACAATGAGCAAACAAACTCTTTTTTGTGTAAATTTAAAAGAAATACCTTACTGCTATTTCGGTGTTCCTTTGGTTTTCTTTGTCCTTTTTTTTTCTCTTTAACACATATAGAAGTAGAGGGAAGTTGCATGTTGTGGGATAATTTCACTATAGAGCTACTTCGTCCGCTCCCATACTGCAGGCGTTTTGGCTGGTGATGCTGGCTCTTGTTGATTTCATCCTTCTCGTGTTATGAAATTTCCTGTTCCTTGCTTTTTTGTTACTTATATTCACTCTATTTTACCAAACAGTTATCAGCATTAGATGCTGGTAGAAAGCGCTAATTGTTTCGAACTCCTGAATAATAAGTGACCCTAAAACTATGATTAAAAAGCGAAAAAGAGGAGCACATGTATTTTCTACTTTCTCATACTGCTGAAGCTGCAATGCAATGATCTAGTTGAGTTGGAAAAATGGAGATGAAGATAAGACACCATGTTTTTGTGCATTGATGAGAAATGTTTTCCACCTGCAATTTAGTAGTATAGTACTGCTTCATTTGTTTACTTTTACAGAGCTGTAATGCGTTTTTTTTTCCACGAATGCGGAGAATTATTCCCTTCGTACAACTTTACACATAAGATAGTCCTACCAAGTTAATAGAAGTCCAAGATTCAATGAGAGGACAAAACTCTTCAATCATTTATAAATATCAACAATGAATTTCAGCACACTTTATTCCATTATTAACAGGGTAACAATAGTTGCTTAAAACTCAAATCCGACATTCATAAGTTTGATACACCAAAGGAATAATGAGTTTACTCTAGTAGCCATGATCACAAACTATGGCTGCTGAAAGTTATAGTTACAGGGGAAACTCTTAATCTCCTTTTTCAAAGTTTAGATGTTGCTAGCTTTATCAGATCCTTCCTGAGTATTTTGCCAGAAGGATTCTTGGGTATGGAAGCCACAAATGCAACTCTCCGGATTCTCTTGTATGGAGCCACCTACACAAACAAAATTATCTTTAAATTTAGCCATCACTACAGATCTGAATAGAATACCAGAAATTGCAATGCAGTTTCAAGTCTTAGTACGTTCATATAAATTCCTCTAGTAAATGACATTTTAAATTACCTGTTTGGCAATAAAATCCATGACTGCACTCTCTGACAGACTACTTCCAGATTTTCTTACTACATATGCCATAGGAAACTGTCCGACATCCTTATCCGGAAACCTTAAACACCACAAGATTTATGAAATGAGCATCAGAGATCCATAGCTTCATACCCCTCTGACTAATTAAGGAAGCCACTGTAATAGTAAAAAATCAGAGAACGCAATTGGAAGTAATACTCACGGTATAACAGCAGCATCAGAAATTTCTGGATGAGTGAGCAACAAAGCCTCTAACTCTGCTGGAGGAACCTACAAGTCCATATGACAAGTTTTCAGAGCGTTGTAACCATTAAAGAAATGTCAGATGCATAATACGTGTTTAGGCCATTTGGCCATATAGAAAATCCAGCTATATATTGGAAGAACGATAAACTGAGTCTTTTGTTTACCTGATAACCCTTATATTTGATCAGCTCCTTTAATCTATCAACCACAAAAATGAAACCGTCCTCATCTATATAACAGAGATCTCCAGTTCTTAACCATCCCTCTGAGTCTAAAGTTGAGGCAGTAGCTTCTTCATTACTGAAATAACCTGTGTTGGAGGGAGAACTGAATAAGTTAACGGATATTCCAGCAATAGAGAAACTTCAACACAATCGGGAATAAAGGCTATAACAATAGGTTTGCTTCCAATAAGGATTGTAGAAGAATGTAACTACAATATAGCAGTTAAAATCCTACTTAAGGTAAGTATATGATGTTCTTTCTTACTCTTGGAAAATACAAAGGATGGGGCAGCAGACTACTTTGTGGAAAGATGCTAACTAAAAATGTATTAGTAATACAAAATCCAAAATTCTCGAAGAGAAAATATAGAATATCACATTAAGAAAAATTCATTACAAAGGAATTATTGGTAGATAATAATGCATCTTAACCAGAATTATCTCAAGCTAATAATAAAAGAAGTATCTCTATTTAAGAATACGAAACATGTAGGATGCGAGTATAATTTTAAAAACCTATATGGAGCTGTCAGTAATAAAATAATCAAACTGAGGTCAATATAACAAACTGAATATATTGTAAACTGAGGTGCAAAACGTGCAATTAGTTTTTCCAGTAGTGATTTCTAAAATCTCTTAACACATAGGCAAAATATCAAACTAATTTCCAAATATTAAAAACATGTGAAAGTCATTAAATCCTTTAGGGTGATATTGAACTGACTTTACTTTTAACTTGATCCTATGTTCTGCACTAATTCTGGACAGGATTGCATAAAGTGACGCTTCAGTTGATGTCCAAAAAAAAAAAAGGAGAAAATTCTGAATATTTCTTTAGTCCCCATCTACTTTATTGGACCATCAACAACTATGGTAGACAGTGGAGCAGACAAAAAGAAAATGCTAAAGTTTAAGTGATTTAGTGGTCAATAAAATGGATTAAGAACCATAAGATCTCACACTTAAATCCTAGTAAAGGTAAAAACATTACTAAGTGATTTTTTTTCATTTGTCCAAGTTTCGGTGAACAAAGTTATCCAATACTTATATTGGTGAGAAGTGATATGTGTCTCGTGGAATTAGTCGATGCGTGTACATGCTGGTTCGGACATCATAATTATAAATTTTTTTATTTTTTTCTCACCCGGTATCCGGTACCCATATTGGGGGTAAAGCGATCCCTAACAAAGGCGACTCCCTGCCTAGGGCTCGAACTCTAGACCTGTGGTTAAGGATGAAGGAGTACTTACCACTCCACCACAACCCTTATTGGTAATTATAAAAAAAGTTCATAATTACATTATCTTAATGTATGGACTGGAACAAAAGTCACTGGTCTTATTCAACTTAAATTATATGTAAATTGAAATTCTTTTAAAATACATTTTTGTACTAAAAATTCCTCTCCGCTGTCACAAAAGAATGGAGTATCATATTCCATCTTTTTCTGGATCTGCAATTATTCATCACCTTTTAGTTACAACTTGAGATTAAATTGTGACCATCTCTTTCCATTCTTTCTTATTTAATGCCTTAGCTGCTAAATTCCAACTTGTCATTATTTCTTAAATAATGCTTTAGCTGCTGATTCCAACTTGTCACACTACTGTAACATCACTAAAAAATTACTAGGGAAGATGATTCATACAGATATGGCCAACACAACTTTTCCGTAGTATCATATTCAATTATTGCAAAAAATTAAATCAAAATGCCAAAAACATGTTTAAAAAAATAAAAATCATACCTTTCATAATGGTAGGTCCCCTTAGCCAAAGTTCACCGGTCTTATTCACCGGAAAAGCCTTCCCACTTTCCGGATCCACAATTTTTGCCGACATGCTCGGCGACAACATCCCCGCCGTCCCATATCTCCGGCTCTCCTCTAACGAATCCGTTGACGCCCCAATTGCCGTTGATTCAGTCAACCCATACCCTTGCAAAATTGCCACACTAGGATATTTCTCCAAAAACCCTTCAATTACTTCCTTACTTAACGGTGCACCCCCAGAAAGAACTTTCTTTAAACTGCTCAAATCATATTTCTTTTTAATCACCTCAGCATTATTCACTAAAGCAACAAGAATTGGTGGCACGAGTGGTAAATAAGTTGCTTTGTATTTGTGAATTGATAATAACATTTCGTCCATTTCAAATTTCGATAGTACCACGACTGTCGATCCACTAGCTAATAATCCTGCTGCAAAAGCTGCTAAACCGTAAATATGAAACATGGGTACCGTACATATAAAAGTTTGTTCTCCCTGGTCTAATTTGAACCGACCCACAATTGTTTGAACCATAGCAATTAAATTTCTATGAGATGAAACAACTCCTTTACTTGCACCAGTAGTTCCTGAAGAATAAAGCAGAGTAGCCGTATCATCTTGTGTCACTCGCTCTTTCAATCTGCTTTGAACAGGTTTTTTCTGAATCAAATTCTCTAAATTACCCAAAATCTTGAAATTAAAATTATCCTTTTGAGTAAGATTTGTTGTTTGATTGTTGATAAGAATAATCGGGAGATTAGAATCGACGAGCTTAGGGAGGAGTTCAGGGATTGTGAAAGCGATTACAGGGTTTGAATCTTTGATCTGTTTGTTAATTTCACGTGGGGTGTTGAGGGGGTTTGTTGTGGTGATAATAGCGCCGAGGGACATGACGGCGAGGCAAACAATGGGGAAATAGATGGAGTTTGGTGAGAGGAGAAGAACTACGTTGCCCTTACGAATTCCCATGTCGATAGAGAGACACGTGGCTAAAGATTCGACGGCGTTCCAGACGTCGGAGAAAGTGAGTTGCTGCCCTGTTGTGGCGTCGATGAAAGCGACTTTGCCGCGGTGTGCTCGTGATGATATGAAAGTTGTCACGTCGAGAGCTTCATTTGCTGGCAAGGGAATTGGGTCTCGTTTACTGTAGAATGTTGAGTCCGCCGGAGAATAGCCGGTTCTTGGATCGACGGTTGAGCCATTGCTAAACTGTGCCATTGATGGAAAATGGAGCTAAGCTAAGCTTCTATTGAACTGAAAATGGGAATTATGATGACAGATTTGGGATCTGAGGAATTCTATAATATAGTATTTGTGGATCACCAAAGTTGACTGTCACTTTAATGATTTTTGTAGTATGACTCACTCTGCAGGTATCTGAATGATGCGTGTTACACGTGCAGATAATTATGTGTTTATTTTTCATAAGATGGAGGTAAATTGCGGATCTGCTCCCAAATGTTTGAACTGGGTTACTATTTTGCCCCTTTGACTTCAATTATGCCAAATGCTTCCTTTAAATATTAGGTAGGTGGTTAAGTTGTCCTTTACTCGAAGGTAACCAAATTATGACTCATGTGTTGAGTACTTCATTGTTTTGTTTTACATACTAAAAGTTACGCGGATATTATGGTGAGTAGTTAATAATATACGAATTATTCATTTTAAATATATATTTGTTATTATTTAATTCTTTTATTTTTATATTGTTAATATATGTGTTTACCTCGAAAATACGAGTAACAATTAAATTTGATTTGTGATTTTAAAGATATATGATTTAGCTCAATACCAATTAATAATCAAAAAATATGAAATAGAAATGAAAGAGACAAATGAATCAAACCAATATTAGTCAGCAGCAGTGACCTCGAGCTTAGTGACCTCGAGGTGAGCTTAGAACAATAAGAACAATTAAGCAAGAAAAGTAAAATAAGAACAATAGAGCTGAAGGATGATTCTGATGAACGGTAAGCAAAAAGTAGAAAGTATATTTTTTGCTCAATGATTAGATAATCTTTACAAATGGTTGAGGTCCTCTTTATATAATAGGGGAACCTTAAATAAGGTATATTATTATTAACAGTAAGAAATATTCTTGATACAGCTGTCTAACCGCCTAATACGGAATCCTACAATCCCATTTCGAGATTTGCGCCATGATCTTGGGGACGTGGCAGGAATCTAGCTCATTCTATTACAAATTCATAACAGTACTATTTCGGGGTCGAGCACACGTGGCTCCGATGCTCCTCGAGCACTTAGGTCTTCGAGCCTCTTATTCTACCTTCGAGCCTCTTATTCTACCTTCGAGCCTGAGCTTGGTCTATATCGAATTTTTGTTCTCGATGCGACTTCTCGAGCCTTTAATATTGGAGGCATATGATTTTGATCGTATACATTGGGTTCGCTCTTAGTCTATTTCGATCTCGCTCTTGAGGTGACCCTCGAGCTCACGAAATAGAGTAGCCCCTATTTCTACAGTATACAGATAGTCCCCGCATTTCTTAGAGTATAACGACAAGAAACGAATTGAGTCCTTGATCTTTTATCCCGATTTTCCACGATATCATCATCGTGACGTAAGCGACTGAGGAAACGAAAGCTTGGAAGTTGGCCTTTCTCGAGGAAAACTCCGAGAACTTTTAGCGAGTCTGGCGGAAGGTTCCGAGGGCGAAGACGCTTCTGTCGATGAGAACCGTGCCGCTTAGGTTTCGTGCTTTTAGTAATTTTTTGCTTTTGAGGTTGATCGACCCTTGCGAGGAACTCTTAATTGTGACTTATAGCTTTTGTAAAAAAGTTTATACAAAGCCTTTTTCCTTCAACGGCTTCTGAATTTGTTACTCTTTTATGCGGGTCAAAGTGCCTTATCATAAAATTCCTTTTGAATGTCCAAAGTTTGAGATGGTAATGACCGATAATAAGTTCTGCCCTTGAAAGTTTTTGATGAATGGTCCCCGAATGACTATTCGAACTTGAGTTTGAGTAGCTGTTAGGCTTAACAGTCGATGAGGTAAGGCAGCCCTTGGGCTTGATAGTTGAGTGAGTGCTCGCTCGAACTTGAAATAAAAATAGCCCTTAGGCCTTATGGCCAAACAAGGACATGCTCGAACTTGAGATTAGGTGGCCCTTGGGCTCGAAAGATAGTTCCCAGAGTGAGAATTTTCTCGAACTCGGGTAGCCTTTGGGCTTAGTAGTCGAGTGAGTACTTGCTCGAAATCGAAATGAAGTTAGCCCATAGGCTTTATGGATAGTCCTTGAGTGAGAATTTTTTCGAACTCGGGTAGCCCTTGGGCTTAGTAACCGAGTCAGTACTTTCTCGAACTCGAAATGAAGTTAGCCTATAGGCTTTATGGATAGTCCCTGAGTAAGAATTTTCTTGAACTCGGTTAGCCCTTGGGCTTAGTAGTCGAGTGAGTACTTGCTCGAACTCGAAATGAAGTTAGCCTATAGGCTTTATGGATAGTCCCTGAGTAAGAATTTTCTTGAACTCGGTTAGCCCTTGGGCTTAGTAGTCGAGTGAGTACTTGCTCGAACTCGAAATGAAGTTAGCCCTTAGGCTTTATAGTCGAGTGAGGATTTGCTCGAACTCGAAGTAAAGTTAGCCCTTAGTTTTTTTTTTTTATATTGGACCTTAGGCTCTTTTAGATCAGTCCTTAGGCTCTTTTTGATCGGCCCTTAGGCTCTTTAAGTTGGGCCAGTTCAGCCTCTAAGACGGCTATAATTTTTCCATCTTTTAGGCTAAAAGACTTAGTGAAAATTTCTTTATACCTTAGCATGTATTTTTTGTACCCATTGGGTTTTTCGAGGGTTCAATCGATCAAAACCCGTTCGTGTTACTGCCTCTTAAGGCGTTTTCGAAGGTTGATGTTATCGAAGCCTTTAAATTATTCGAGGGCTAATTTTATCGAAGCCCTTTATGCTTTTGTCGAGGGTAGCCAAGTTTAACCGATTTTTCAAAGTATTTGAAGGCCTTTAATTTATGGCAGAAGTCAGACGTTTCCAAACCGCATTATTTCAGCCGTAGCCTTTTACATGACTGTAGTCTTTAATATGGACGTAGCATTCGGGTATGTCTCTTGGCCTTGTTTTCCGATAGCCTTTCGAACTTGTCCGAAAGGTTAGTCCCCGAGTATGATGGCCTTGGCCCATATATCGAGGGGTGCCACTTTGAGGTCTTATGATTTTGAACTGGGATAGCTCGAGTAGGTAGTCCCCGGGTGTTCGAGGTATGCTCGCTCTTGAGTTAAGATAGCCTGTGGGCTTTTATGATCGAGTGAGGATTTGCTCGAACTCGAAGTAAAGTTAGCCCTTAGGCTTCGTAGATAGTCCCCGAATGAGAGTTTGATCAAACTCGTGTTAAGATAGCCCTTGGGATTTTGTATTTGCTATGGATTTCGGACGCTCCCGATCCGCGTTAACTTGGCCGTAGCCTTTTTAGTTCGGAACTTGCCCTTTGGGCTTACCTTCTGTTTTACTTCAAGCTTGACCGAAGAGTCAGTCCCGAGTGGGGTGATTGATTAGCTCCAACCCTACACCACTATAGAATGGCAAGAGTGGTCGATGCAGCTTTTACCCGAAAGGTCGAGATCGAATTCACAGAGAGTTAATATTGGTTTGGAGTTGGGTTTCTATCTAATCTAGTTATGCATGTTGTTCTTAATTGCACTTCTAAACATGATTGGGTTTGTTACTATTCTACTTTAATGCTAATGAATGCTGAAAATAAGCTAAGTACAATATTTTTGTAAGGGTTTTCTCAAGTGATAAAAAGCACTAAGGAAGTGACTTACATCAAGGTGAGTATCTCATGTGATGTAAAATTTAGGACAAGCTTGTTTGGGGTCGTGATATAACCATTACACATAATTATTCACTCTATACCTCTCGGTAGTTTGAGTGACTTTGCTCTAGCTAATTGGCTTTCTCAAGCCCAATTGGGTGTTCAAACAATACAAGTAAAATTGGCTCAAGTCGGGTATTACTATCTCTAGATTTAACCCTTTAATTGGGGCTATTAAATCTCTTGAATACACCCCAATTCCTGTTAGCCTAAATTTCCTAGACTTAGTCCCTCTTTCTCAAGAAGAGTCTAAGTTATAAAGGCATGAATCAGTGTTTGCAACCACCAATTCTACAATTAAAGTATGAAACAAGCTAAATATCACTAACCAATAAATAATTAAGCCCTAAAATAGAAGACTCATTAAATACCCACACTAGGGTTGGGTCACAACCCTAGCTAATGGGTTTAGCTGCTCATAATAAAGGTAGAAATCAAAGATGGAGATGAAAGATAAGTCATAAATGTTGATTACAAAGATAAAATCCAAGAATAATAGCTAAAGTTACTCTAAAATTACTCAAAATAGCTAAGTACGGCGGTTCACGAGCTCCTCAGTACAAAAGATACCCTAAAATTTTGAAAAAGATCTATTTATACACAACTGAAATTACTAGACAAAAATGTCCCTACAGAGATTCCGCTAACAACTTAATAATGAGTGCCTCAACGCTTGGGCTTCCGTGGCCGCGCAAAAGTAAGCGCATACCGCATTTCTTCTCTTCTGAGCTTGGTCTGGACTTGATTCCGCTAGGAGCGGAAAAACAACTACCTCAGCGTTGTCTTCAACCGCGGCAGCGAAATATGTTCGCGGACCGTGCTTTTCATTTGAGCTCCAATCTCCAGTCCTCTAATTCTCAATTTCGCTGAGGGAGAAATTTGGACCGCAATCGCGTCAAGTAATTCCGATGCCGCACTATTTCACCGCGATCAGCGGTGTCTGTTGTGACAAAATTTCCTTCTCTGATCCTTAATTCCGCTGAGAGCGTAATTATGGTCACCTCAGCGGTTGACCTTCCGCGGCCGCACTATTTCATCACTGTCAGCGGTTTTAGCTCAGTTTTGTACTTGTGCAGGTTTAACTCCTTTATGAGTTGGTTATGACTTTATTGCTTCATTTTGACCAAACCCTACAAACAAGCACAATAAGTTAGTTTTCAGGAATACTTTTATACATTTTTGACCCATAACCTAAGCAAAAGAGAGCATAAGATAGGCTAGAATCTATAGTTATCAGTGGCTGTGGCCCCTGAAATCGAGGATCATCTTCAAGGTCTTATAGTCTCGAAATGTTGGCAGTTTGAACTTCCGTTGTGATCGGCCCTTAAGCATGTTTACATAATAAATCAAGAGTATGAAATAGAAAATTTTTCTAGAAGCATGAGATATCGACAAGGAAAAATACTTCTCTCAATAGACGATTATACATGTGCACATGTTTGATGTTAGGTCTCGAGTAACCTATATGGGCATGGCTCATCCGACCGTTTGACCCTTACAAAATTTTCCTATCGAGGACCCGTTGTCATGAAGTAACT